TGACAAAATCTGAATTTCACCTTTTTGTACAACTGTTGTTTTAGCTACAAATACTAAAAATAAAAAGATACTCATCAGCTTCAGTTTTTTCTTGTGACGACAACGTACCCCAAACTGTAGAAAATATTATACGACTGATTTCATCCCATGCTTTAATTTTCAAATTAGAATCTGAATACTCTTTCAGCTTTTTATCGTAAATTAATGCTCTTTTTTCAACTTCTTCAATAAGTAAATCATTATCGATATCCTCTTCGTGCACTTTCACGTTTTGCGTAGACGTTGACGCCATTTTGCGTTCGCTAAAGACGACGGTCCGAATGCAAATGGCGGAAGAACTACGTGTTGAGTGACAATTTTGTTGCCCGTGCGCGCGCTGCTATAAAAACCTAGCGGCGTGGTGACAGTTTCGTCACGGGCTTGTCCGCTGGTCGGCGGACAAAAATGTCACCCAATTGTCACGTCGTAACGTGCGCGCACCTCCATATATACTAATAGACTTGATGTGAGTGACGAAACAGTCACGGTGACAAAAGTCACCGGTGCGCGCTAGCCCTTACTCTTCATAAGTTCATACTCATGTCTCGACGTCAGTTGTCGGCCGCCAATTTAAATTTGCCGACAAGGCATTTGTCAAAATCAACATTGTTGCCACTTGCCTCTCAATTCTCATAAATCAAAATCATTGATTTGGGCCTTGGGGTTGCGAGTTGCGACTTAAAGACCTAATTTAAATATTATAAGTAATAAGATAAAGTTATGTGGGTAAGATTTAAGTAATAACTAATACGTTGTCCCCCGTCGATACTCGGTTGTTTATAAAATATAAATCTTAGCAATAGAAATGCTGTCACCTTTCAAAAGAAGAATACATTGTAATATTGGTAAAAAATTATTTTCAACATGTTATCCTGAAATAGACGTCGAATATTATTGTCACAGACAAAATTTATCGGAAATAAAACACAACATTGAAATAAGAAAGGGTGTCGGTGACATAAATAGAGTTCATGAATTGTATGAAAAGTTTAAATCACTTTCAATGGGTGATAGTATGTATGAAAATATAAAGGAGAATTTTTACTCTGAACTTGTAAAATTGCCCAACATAACCCACCCTGATGTTCGAGATTATAAGGAACATCCTCGTACCATTAACACTATTAATCTTAAAAAAGATTTTGGATCCTACAAGCCTCTTGAATTCAGTGAAATAACACAATTATTAAATTTAATGAGAACAGATAAGCTTGGTTACACATGCGATAACAAAAGTTACTATTATTTTGGTGAATTAGCAGAGTATGAAGAGGCATTATTAAAATATACTGTGTCATATTTACTTAAAAAGGGTTTTAATCTGGTGTCAGTACCTGATGTATTATCAAGGAATATAATTCAAAGTTGCGGTATGGCAGTCAATGGTGACCGTACTCAGGTAACAGCTTATTTCCTACTTTATATTTAAAATGTCATGTACTTTTAAGGTAAAATATTAGGTTCCTGTTATTGAGAAAGTCATAAATGTTATGATCATGCTTATCTTCGATCTCAATTAGCCTATTATCTTTTGTATTTAAATCTTTTTTTTTTAAATCTGTTACAGATTTATTCACTAGATCCTGTTCTTCATGGTGCTGACTTACACTTATCTGGTACTGCTGAAATGTCACTAGCTGGTATGTTGAGTAATACACAACATGACAGTAAAAAATTACCTTTAAAATTTGTATCAGTGAGTAGATGCTATAGAGCTGAAACATCTAATACAATTGAAGAAAGAGGAACATATAGGTAGTATTTTTCATATTTCTTCACACATTTTTGCTTCAAGACTTAACAGTTTTTGAAATATTCTTTTATAGAGTTCACCAATTTACTAAAGCAGAGATGTTTGTTGTTTCAAAACAAGAAGATTCAGACGATACTTTGGAATACATAAGAAAGACACAAGAGGAATTATTCTCTCCTTTAGGGATACATATGAGAGTTTTGGACATGCCACCACATGAATTAGGTGCACCAGCATTTCGGTTTGTATTATTTGTTTTAGTTTCACACCTCTATGATTTTGATTTATTTATACATGAAAAATTAAAGAACTTAATTGTCAATGCATGACTGGGATCTTAATTAAGTAGGATGATGATAAAAATATTGTAATAAAGACAAAGTATATTTTAGGAAATATGACATTGAAGCGTGGATGCCAGGGAGAAATAACTATGGAGAGATATCTAGTTGCAGTAATTGTACAGACTATCAAGCCAGACGTCTTAATATTAAATATATGGATGGTATAACCACTAAGCATGTGCATACATTGAATGGGACAGCATGTGCTGTACCTAGAATGCTCATTTCTCTAGTTGAAACACATCAGCATCCAAAGGGCAAAATACTAATACCTGAGATTTTGCAGCCTTTTATAAATGGTAAGAAGTATATTGGAAAAAATGTTGCTGTTCCGAAGCTTAAACTTTTAAAAATAAAGAACTAAAAATTTCAGATTTTATCCTTTCTTCTTTTATCCTAATATCCAATAATAACTACAAATTAGAGTAGGTATGGTATTGCCATGAATCATGATATCTTATTTGTTCCATCCAAATTGGAAATACAAGTTTATTATGCAGTAAGAGAAATGTAGATTATTATACATATTTGGCTTTTACAAGAGTGACAGCATTAACTAAACAAACAAAATAGGTTAAATCATTTTTACAATAATAGTCCGATATATATAATAGATCCGGCTTTAGGATTAGTACCTTCATCAGTTATTTGCTAATGCTAAAAACCCAATGTTTATGTATATTTATAATAAGAAGAATAATGTAGCGTGATGTAGACGATATTTTATTTAAAAAACAAGTGAACGAAATTTTTTCCCAAAAATCAATTAAAAATACTAGCGACCAAATTCTGATAGGCAACTTGGTAGATACATATTTTCCTAATTAAGGTAAGTGTGGGCAAGATGAAAAATGGGGTAAGACAATAAATCGTCTATAACACCGATTTTAACGTATTTTTTTGAGTGCTGGTATTTTTACTAAAACCGCCAGTTTCTAACGTTACAAACCACGTAAATTTAAATAATTTCTGCGTCGTGATTTTTTCGTATAATCTTCAAGTGATTTAATCTAACCCCGTGTACTGTAACTTTAACTACAAGATAGGTACGACTGTTTCATAGCAATATTTAATTATAGTTTTTTATTCGTAGTTACGAAATCACATCAAAATACGGCTATTTTTAGTCATTTAGCAAATATCTCAACTTTCCATCTTTACCCAAAAAAAAAACGACGAGTTGCACCGGGAGTGCCGGCAGAAGTGAAAACTTGAATAAGTAACGTTGTAGTAAGTAGTAACGTTGTGCATTTTTGAGATTTTGGAATGGTTAGGGAATAATTTTGCACGAATTGCTTTAATTATCAGTATAAAAGTACTATCATTTATGTGGTAGAATACAATATTTATTTATTACGCTATCGTACACAAACATGACAATTTATATTACATTTATGGGATGTGCTATCTTGAAATAAATCACAACCCATTTTTATCTTTGTTAATTGGGTTATTCTTCACAAACAAGAGTAATTAATTTATATTCACATAGAAACGCTCAAGGAAGAAAAACATATATATATTCACTTGTCTTCAAAGTCCGTCTGAGTGACGTCTGTTTTCTTCTTTCCTTAGTGTCCTATCTTTATGTTAACACATACACGCGACGGCTTTAAGTTGCCGGTGAACTCGCTCAATCTTGCCGTTTGCGCAAGGATGGTAAGCAGTGGTTCTTTTATGCCTTGTGGCAAACCTAAGCATCAGACGATGGAAAAGATCCGACTCGAACTGCGTGCCCTGGTCGGTTGTCAAAACAGCTGGGACAGCGAAGCGTGGAATCCATTCACGGGTGAACGTTTCAGCTACTTCCTCAGCGGTGATAGATTGCAAAGGCCAAGCTTCAGGCCACCTGGTCACTCTATCTATAGCTGTGAGGAGGTAACGGTACCCGTTACTGAATGGGAGAGGGCCAACGATGTCAATATGAACATGTAAAAATCGGCCCGATGGCAACTTAAACTCTCCTGTCGGCGCCGAAACGTGTCGCGTAATTTTACTTCGCTGACAAGCCAGACATGAACGAGTCCACTCTCTGCAGTCCTTTCTAACTGATGGCCATACGTATCGATCGGTCACTAGCCTAGTGGTTGCTCTAACGCCAGCATGACTCAAATGGTGAAACTTTTCAAAAACCGCACGGCGAAAAGGAGGTGTTAAATAGGGACGCGTTTTTCCAGTTGAGACGTCACAAATAATAGAAATATCTGTTCCAGGAATATTAACCTTAGAAAGTTGAAGACCTGAGTCAGTTGACCCTAAGATGGTAGAAAGCTCTGGATCAGACTCTTGGGACTTTAAAAGAGCTTCAAAATCATGTTCAATCGATATTGCCTCTATGCGCGACATAGCGTCAGCTACTACATTTTCTTTACCAATTACGTGTCTGATATCAGTCGTGAATTGCGAAATAAATGAAAGCTGGTTGAGCTGTGAGGGAGCCAATTTCTCTCGACGCTGTACGAAAGCGTACAGCAATGGTTTGTGGTCTGTAAAAATGGTTGCATGTTGCACCTCGAGAATGTGACGGAAACGCTGTACACTTTCGTACACCGCCAGAAGTTCGCGATGGTAGGCAGGCCACTGCGACTGATTGGGAGTCAGTTTCTTGCTGAAAAATGACAGAGGGCACCATTGTCCATTGATCAACTGCTGTAAACAGGCGCCGATGTGCATGCTAGAAGCATCTGTAAAAAGACCCAAAGGTGCATCATTTACTGGATGTGTAAGTAGCGTGGCGTCTGATAAACTTTTCTTGCAGTCTTCGAAAACTCTCAACAGCTCGGGCGTCCATGGATACGGTTTGGAGCCTTTGCCATTGATCTCGACTAAAGCGTCTACTAACTGCGCTTGAAACTTGGCGGCATGAGGGATGAAACGGCGATAAAAATTAATCATACCGAGAAAACGCCTCACGCCTTGCACGGTGTCAGGAGGGGGAAAATCTAATAGCTTTTGAACGCGGTCCAGAGGAGGCCGCGTACCATTAGCGTTAATGAGATATCCGAGAAATACAACCTCGCTGGCACCAAGAATGCACTTAGATGGATTGATCACCACCCCGTAATCTTGTAGGCGCTTAAAAAGGACGCGCAGATGCTCTCTGTGGCTGCTCTCGTCCACTGAAAAAACAAGCACGTCATCGATATAAGGAAAGCAGAAATCGAGATCCCGCGTGACCACGTCGATAAAACGCTGGAAGGTTTGGCCAGCGTTGCGCAGCCCAAAGGTCATGAAAGGAAACTCGAAGAGGCCAAACGGGGTAACGATGGCGGTCTTCGCGATATCTTCTTCAAAAACGGGAATTTGATGGTACGCTTTCACTAAGTCAATAGTGCTGAAAATAGTAGCTCCAGCGAGGCTGCAGGCGAAATCATTGATATGACGAACGGGGTATCTATCTGGTATGGTCCTAGCGTTTAATGCGCGATAATCGCCACAAGGACGCCATGCGTTGTCTTTTTTGGGTGTCATGTGCAATGGTGACGACCAAGCGCTTTTAGAGGGTCTTGCTGTGCCGCATTGAACCATGTCTTCAAATTCTTTTTTGGCAGCAGTAAGTTTTTGAGGTGCCAGGCGACGGGGACGACACGACACAGGAGGACCATCAATAGTTTTAATATAATGCACGGTGCTGTGCTTGATGATTCTAGGTAGACCAGGTGGACGCGAGAGAAATCTCCCACTGTTCCTGGGGCCAAGGGGGGAACCCCCCCCCCCCCCCCCTCAAAGTTTCTTTCCCCGCCCCCGTCCAAAATTTTTTTTTTAAAACCGCCCCGCCCCTCCTCTCCCCCCCCCCCCCCCCCAAAAAAACCCCCCCCCCCCCCCCCCCCCCCATCCCAAATTAATTTTTCCCCTTTTTTTTTTTCCCCCCCCCCCCCCCCCCTTGACGGCTTTTATGAGAATAATCAGTCACCGCGTCTACTGACTGTGTTTCCTGTTTTCCGACGGCGAGGTGTCGGGTTGCCAGTTGCAGGGTTTGGTACATTTGGTTGCCCTGCTATTGAACCTTCTATGGTACCAACACATATCTTGATTTCTAGGTGAGGCACCGCGAGAACGCTGTCTAGATATTGATTTGCTGCGTGAGCGACCGCGAGGATGCGAGTTGGTAAGAGATGCAACTTGCTTGCTTAAATCTTCCACTGTCTTTACTAAAGAATCCAGTACCGATGGTGCAGGCGCTGGCATCGCACAGGAGTACACCTGGTGGCTGGGTCCTGATATCTCTGTGATCTTGTCTGCGAGGTCTGCTATTTTGTCCAGACTCAGTTCAGTTTGCGAAGCTAAAATAGCCTGAATATTTTGAGGAAGACGGCGCATCCAAAGCTGGCGCAAAATATTTTCATCTGTAAGGGTGTTACCCGCTAACGAACGCAGATGACGCAGAAACTGCGATGGTCGCCTGTCTCTAAGCTCCTCTACACTAATAAGCTGGCGTACCCGCTGTTCCTCTGACATTGAAAGACGCCGTACTAACTCATCTTTTACCTTTTTATACCGTTGGCCTATGGGTGGGGGTCTGGTAATGATATCCTCAATCTCCCCAGCTAACTTTTGGTCTAATCTACCTATTACATAATTATATTTGGTATTATCACCAACAATACCCGCTATATCAAACTGAGCTTCCACCTGCCCAAACCATACCGCTGGTTTGTCAGGCCAGAAAGGTGGTAACTTGGGTGTTGATTCTGATGTAGATCCAATATCAGTCAGTTTCTGCTGAAGAGCTGCATTCTCCAGTGTCATCTGTTGTAATCGCTGTTCTAATTCCCTATCAGCCATTATACCACACGACCAAGCAAGATGAAATAATAAATAAAATAAAAAATAAATACTAAGTCAAAAAAATTTGGTAGCTGTGAGAGAGGTGCAGTGGCAGATCACACGGTTAGTATACAGGTAAGCTAAACTGTAAACATATAAGTTGTCATATCAAATAGATATAAATATAACAAATAACAATATATGCACAATAATATAGTTGAAGCGTTTTGTAAATGCGACAAATGACTCGTGAAAGGAAAAACCATCCAGACGATCGCGCTGCTGGCGCACCTGGCCCTGGAGCGACACGATTGGGGGCCGCACCTCGTCGTTGCGCCGTCGTCGCTCGTGCTCAACTGGGAGTGCGAGTCCAAAAAGTGGTGTCCGAGTTGTTTTGAATATGGGATAATATATAGTTGCGAAAAAAAATCACGTCGAAAACTTCATATCACGTCGGGGTCACCAATTATGGGATGTGCTATCTTGAAATAAATCACAACCCATTTTTATCTTTGTTAATTGGTTTATTCTTCACAAACAAGAGTAATTAATTTATATTCACATAGAAACGCTCAAGGAAGAAAAACATATATATAT